CATAATTTGATCCACCCTCTCAATCAGGAGACAGGATTCTGACAGAGCGTACTGTTAAGTTCCCTTAAATATGAGGCTTGTGGTAGCATGAGAAACTTCCATCTCAAAGGAGTTATATGCAAGAATCTAAGTGTCTAGTGTAAAAGGTGAAATATGGAATAAGAAGTCACATGTACCTGTACATAAGTGTAGTTTCGGATGCAAAAAGGGACTACACATCCTGGAGAATGACTGACAGTTACAAAGTCTGAGGTAACCAAATATTAGCATTCCAGGCAACCTTACTCCGCCCCACCATACAGCCACGTGAACGGGGGAATTCAAACATGCCAAAATGAGCAGAGAAAACACAAAGTCTAAGGAGTGAAGGAACATGGGATCATGCCAGAGTACAGCATAAGCATTTTAATAAAAAATTAGCATCTCTGCTTCATTTCCATATGCTTAGCCGAGCTAAATAAGAGACCATCCTGGGAATGCAAGGCAACAAGAACGAGTAAACATGGGGGTTTTAGAATTTCACAGTCAAGGCTTGTGGGTGGGCAACATGCTCTCTTAATAAGGGGGCAGAATTCTGACACTGAAACTTAGTGCATACTTTGATCCACCCTCTAAATGAGGGGGCGGAAGGGGCATAATCAACTATTTCTTCCTACGTATTACGTTACCACCAGTGTATTAAAACAAATCAACCAAAATTTTCGCTCCATGCTGGTCACAAAAAATTAAAAGGTATTAAACCACACCAGGGAGCACAGCCTTCATCCATAAAGCTGCATAAAATCAAATATTCCCTACCCTTTCATAAACTATTTCATGGCAAAAATCGTGTTGGAATAATTCTGAAACTTCTTTTTAAAAAATGAAGCAATTACTCATGGAACTTTGTTTGCACTGACTGGTTTCATAGCCACAGAAAAACTTTTATTCAGAAAACAGTGTGAAGAAAAGGAAATTCATGGTGGTGGCCAAACTCTATAAAGGTGACACGTATGATTAAGCCCCTTCCCCATAAACAAGAAACACGTGGCCAAACTCCAAACACACAAGTACGACTCACATGTAAGACAAGTGGAACCTCCATTCATGCACATTATGTATTTGGCAACGGCCAGCACCATTTTAACTCACGAGAGAAAATATAGTCCAATTTCCACGATGTGATCAATGACTTTTGTCCATAAGATTCATTGAGGATTTAAGAACAGTTCAAGTCAGAATGTGTATACAGACATTCATCACTTTTTTGCACATTTCATTCCATTTTATGATAATTGATATATTGCTTGAAACAACTTCCATGGTACTGTATTATTCATACACTTGCAAAGTGACAGTTTACACATGCGTGCCGTGTAAATTGTGGCCCACACAAACAACCCCATAGCCTAAAGATTTCAACTAACTTGGGTGTTTGTGCACCAATATCAGTGATCAAAACAACAAAATATGGTTTCTTATAATGTTAAAACAACTCTGAGACACATAGTACTTGTTCTTTTTACCAACAAAATGTCAATGGTCTATTGAAGGTGTACATGTAGATATAGGCAGTAGTAGCCAACCAGGTCTCAGTCTGGGTTTCACATTTCAAGGTCTTGATCTTGGTCTCGCTCTCTCTTGGTCTAACATGTACATGATCTAGCCAAAGCACTGCATGCAAAGGAAATACTGATAGTTTATACTATGTTCTTGATTTTGGTTTCCTGTTTTGATTCTAAGCTTCCCAGCCAGATAGATGTGTCAAAATCCATAATGAGACTTCACTGGGACAATGACGCCTTGCAGAGGTTCAGTCCACACACAACTCCCTGGAGAGAAACACCTTCATTTACTTGTATGGTACATGAAGGTTTCACATGTACATGTTGAATAAAGGCATACTCCCAGTAAATTTTATGAAGCAACCTAATAATTACTAAGAGTAGATTACCTGCATGTATTCCATAGTTGGGGTGCTTTGCCCTCTGCTCTTTGAGTGCATTGTGGAATGCTTTATCAATAACGAGTGGATCCAGAGTGACACCATGTTGAAGTGCAACCCGACTATACTGCTGACCTGTGGATTGGTTGACACGCATCAGCGTATTGTGGATGTCCAGAGTTATGACCTTGTAGCGTAGCATTGTGGACATAATGACAAAGAATTCAGCTCATCATCTGCTTTAGTTTCATAAAGAACAGTAACACAACAAACAGTGAGTGAAAACAAAATTAATAGAATGACACCTAATGTTAATAATTCAAACATACTGATTATGACTGTTAACTGGGTGCACACACTCCTACATGTACTAACAAGTACATTATAATTTGTTGTGATTCGTCTCAAGTCCTACATGGAAGTACGGGTAAATGATTTGACTCTGCTCATGTCACAACAAACAAATTACTCCACGAGTACTTACTTGAGCCAACAGGCTAACATCCCCCTAAGTCCCTATCGACCTTGTGCGCATACGTCACAGATCACCAACGTGATTTTGATCCCGCCATCTTGGTGATCACCCCCCTCATTTGTCACTATCCATTTAACGTTTCCACAGACATCGACACTGCAGGGTACAGACCACTAATTCAAGTGAGAATTTCTGACCAGCTCATTAGCATTAAAAGTGCCCCCCAAAGTATCTTTTGAAAAAGGAGATTGTTTGGCCCCCAAAATGGTGAGATTGTGTAAATCGTTGCCAGGATCAACTCCCTGGGTCTTCGAGCTTTCATATGAGGGCAGAAGGGCTAAAAACTACGGTTGAAAAATGGTCCTAAGTGCCTGAGAAAGTTGAGGGTTGCCACTTGAAAAATGGCTGCAATCAGACTTCGGAAAAATCACTTTTTGGGGGGTGATTTTGTTTTGTGGGAATAATTAAAAATGTAATTCGTTAACCCACAAAAAATTGAAAAGAAATTGAAAGGTAAGTGACCAGACAAGAATTTCATTTGTGTTTCAGAAATCTCAGGGATGTTGGCGTGCATGCTATTGGGCCCTGAACGGTGCCGATTTTACACTGTTTTCAATGGGGCTTCAATTAGTGGACTGGACCCTGCACTGTACATTGACTTATTGTCAACAATTCCGCCCTCACTTGTTTGTAAAGTGAGTTTCCACACAAAAATAATGACTTGTTTAGCTGTTGGATGCTCGAACAGGGCTGGAAAGACAGACGTATCTTTCTACCATTTTCCTGATAATCAGGAAAGAGAAAATGACAGTGGATAGCTGTAATACAGCGGAAAGACTGGACACCGAGTCCGTACTCACGGCTGTGCAGTGACCATTTTCTGTCTGGTAAGACATTATAAAAATATGTATGTACTTAGGCGTACCGGGCAGCAAGCTGCAGCCTAGGCTGAGGTTAGCGTAGTACCGTTGGTTAGGCAAAGTCTATTTTCATTTTGTGCCGACATTAACATGGTATAGCCCCACTGGAGTGGCCAGGATGTATGTAACAGGAGTGGGCCTATAAGCGTGACAGTTTAATATAAAAGAGAGCATTATGGAAGAGAGCAATTTTACAGCACTTTGTGTAGGGGAAGCATGTGAGCTTAAAATTACAAAATAAAAGTAGCCTATCCAATAATTTCAGTAAGCTTACTCTACTGTGGTTGCCAGAGGAAAAAGGGTATGCTCGTGCAAACAGAGACTGTAAACTTGTTCATTCTTTTGTCAAACAAGGCACTGATAACTTTAGTCCCAGATTGCTGTACATGTGAGATGCCAACATTACTAGGACAGTACTTAAGATCAATATCCAACATCTGTATTCAGAATTCCTACATATAACCTATTCATTGCTTTCCATAAATCCGATTGTAAGACTGTATTTCATACCCCACTATTGTTACATCTGTCGTTGAGAGCCTTTGGCTATTTTTTTTCATAGTTTTTGTACGAACGCTAAGCAGTTCAGAAAAGATTTTGCTGAAATTTTCTCTCTTTCTGTCTTTTGGTTTAAGGAAAGAAAAGTGATGATCCCTTGTCACCTGACTTCATTCCCAGCTGGCTTGAGCATGTGTCATCATCTCAACGAGAAGAAAGAAGAGCAGCCTTGGAAAGATGTCAACGCAGGATGAAAATGAAAAATAGAAAACCAGAAAGGTACTTGAACAATATTAATTGATACAAGCTGTGAGAGAACATACTTTATAAAAATGTGTTTCAAATTATTGACCAGAGGATCATGAGATCTTATCATAAAAATTTCACTTGCTTTTTAATGTGGTTTTGTTCAATGACTGTATATTTGAGGTACAAGTTTAATTTGGTTTTTGTTGATTATTACACGTATGTCAAATATTGCTGAGACAAGGTCTGGTTAACAAACTGTCTCTACTTATGGATGCAAAAGAACCATGCATACTGTCAATGTCTCCTCATTTGACAGACTGAGGGATTTCACATAAGCGCACAAAAGATATCCTGCCATTTTTGTGGTGATACATGTACGAAGCTGTTTACGTTACGATACAGCCCGTCGACGTACATGTACGTACATATAGTGATGTGCGTACTGATCACCAACATGGCGGTGTCAAAGTTCCCGTGGCAGATGACGTCACTCGCACAAGACCTATACTGAGTGAAAAAGTGACTGTGGTCATACAGTAAGTGGTAGAATGTGGTTCATCAAACTACAGAAATACAAAGGGACTGAGGGGGGACATGACCCAGCAACTTTCTTCCTGTATTTGATGAACCTGGATCCATTCTTACCAATGATAATAAGTTAAATGTTTGCATTATCAAGTATCATTATCATCAAGAGCCTCTTCTCCAACAGTATGTGCCACTCATGGACTCCTTCTAACCAATACTTTGTGACATAAAGCAGTGTACAACCTCCATGTACCACATGAATACCGGAATTAAGACTAGTCTAAAGAGAGATTCCCATTTCTTTGATGTCAGTACATTCATGTTCCTTTGGTTAGGGCCATTTTTGCAGCCCTCGATAGAGCTCTAGCTAAAATTTACATATATACATGTACATGTAAAAAATTGTTTTTTTATATATAGATGCATGGAAATAGTTTTGAATGGTGAAATCTGGTTTTGATGTCAACTTCAAAATAATTCCAAACCTGAAGTCAAACCACAGATTAAACCAAACTTTCACAGGTTGATGCGTTATAAACATGCACATGTACAAGCCGACATCGGCAGTTGGTAGGAATGTCGGGCAGAAGCCAAGCTGGTTACAATGCAGAGGGTTAACTTGTTTTGATCTTTATAGATAAACTGTCTTTTGCATCTGTTCCTTCTTCTGTTTTACATGTATATGTACCAATAAATAACTGCCGAACCACAACTCAGTCCTGTCTCTCTTGTAAGCACTTGACAACATATGCACACAAACCCTTTGAGAATGATCTGAAAAATTCAGTGTTTTCAAAGTAAATGCTCAATACTTTCCCTGCTAGATTTGACTTTTGGGCCATGCTACCAGTATCACTTTCTGATGGCTAATAAACCACTGTGAGGGAAAATTTGTAATATGAACTCTTTACCAGTTAGAGCATTGGTTGTGACTACTCTGGTCATTACGGAATGTTTCAGAACGTTCGAAGATCATTTAGCAAATTTTAAAGAACAAGAATAGTGTGTTGACAAACACAAATGCCCCACCAAGCCCATGCCTACATCCAAATGAAAGCTAAGCTATGATTGACTACTGGACAGAAGCAAATTGGACCAATACCAGTGTGGCTTTCATCTGTGGGTGACAGGAAAACAAAGGAAAAGATAGGAGCTGTGTTGCAATTGGTCAAGCTACATGTATCACACAGCTGACAGTTAAGAGTACATACTCGGTGATGCTGCTGATTTTCTGTAGTGTTGATGGGCAAAATGCTCAAGAATTTCACCATTTTAATGAAGATAAAAGGTGCATAAACCTCCCCATCTGACATCTAACTTCACCATGAAGGCATGTATGAAATTTGGTTGCACAAAAAGCTGGAGTACGACACAAGGGTCAGTGAGAGTATACTCTTGCTAGAGGGGGAGTTTAATATAATTCGACCACCAAAATTAGAAGCCATTACTGCAGTGGCACAACGCTTGTGGACAGGTGGTAAGCCCATCTTACATGCCTCTTTGACCATTAGGGTGTCGTGATTTGCCAAATGCACGCGCGCGTCAAGCTGAAGAATGTTCGTGCAGTGCCACGGCAGTTGTGTTGTCTAATCGGATTAGTCTATACTCCTGTAATTCACATGCATCCTACTCGTGTTAACAGGAGTAACTGCGCGAATGCACCAACTCTCGAAGAATGCACAAGGTTGCTGCCATGTTGCATGTTGCTTGCCACAAATAACTACTAGCGATAATAACCGGTTGTATGTGCATTCCCGGCGTTTGAGTGGCCGACCAATGAACAACAAATCAAGCTGTTCGTGAACAAACAACAACTAGCTGCTTGAACTCAGCCAGAGCAAGGGGTAAGTTGGGACAATCAAAACAGCCAAAAATGTTTATGGGACTTTGTACATGGCTATAAACCTCAATTCTAGAAGTACATGTAGAGTGGCAGTCAAACTTCAGATTAAATTTTCCAAATCTACATTAGGAATGATTAGTTATTCAGAGGGAATCAGATGTAAAAAACATGACCTGTAACCAAACTTGTTAAAATATTTTACAAGCATGACAAGGCAATGTTCCTGTTAAATCTGCGTGAAACCAGTTTTTTTCAATATTAGAATGAAAATCTGCAGAAAACATTTGAACCTGAAGAGTAAAAAGCAAAAACACTGGGGTTCAAGTTCTCAATGGCTGCATTTGCATTTCAACTCAAAAATACTAGCACGACTAGTAAATTTACATGTATTTATTCATTTACCCTTAATTTGTCAATCCCAATGTAATGAACTTGAAGACTGACGTTCAAGCAGTGCATTTATTACGTACCCATGCCCACTGATCTCTACATGTATGATGAAATCTGGATAGCGCATGCACAATAGCCTAGGTGACGCTACCACTCGGCAGCTTGGGCCGCCATGATACATACTCCCATTTTGGCAAGTTTTAATGTACAAAGATGAGATACAGTATTCTCCACATTCTAGCCCTGACAGTAGTAGTATTTTTTTTGACCAACCTTTTCCAATTTATATGTTCGTTCTCACCGAGTCATGCAAGTGATGTATGCCGAGCAAGAGAATTTCTAAATGCACCAAAATCACGAACGAGTAGGCCTAAGCATAGAGCTAAGAACAAATATGGCTTAAGTAGCTTGGACCTGGCATGCCTAGGCAACGTGGCTGGGCCTGTCGCCATATTATTATTAAATTGTTTTGTAGGCCCTACTACTACTAGGCCTAAGTTGAACTTACAGTAGATCATGATGATATATGATAATTACAATGTAACTTAGTGACATCATCTCATACTCCTTTTTATGATCAACCTTAAAATGGTAAAAAGTTTCCTTTAAACATTTTACCTTAGCCCAGTCCAGCAAAACTGCATGTTAGGCATAGTACATATGTGTACATGTACATGTACATGTACGCACAATGTGCATATTGTGCGCAGTAAAGTGCCACGATGTTGAGGCCATGGCCGTTTTCCAAAACTCAACTTCGGTCCGTATGAGGCTTCAACTGTTTTTTTTTAACTAGCTGCCTTTGAAGCTGTAAGCGCAGTAACTAGCCTAATAGTGCCACAAAACATCAAATAAGATGCAAGAGAGCCAAAAATTACAGTAATTCAATTCATTTGCTTCAGGCCCACAATCTGGGATTGGTTTTGGGAACGAAGCCTGAGACGGAGACGAATTGAGTATTCGAAAACGGCACCTGAGACAGACAGGGTGTCGGTCACTTCGCCCCACTTCCAACTTAGGAAGCGACTTATTCCACTTAGCCCCATACCACTTCGCCCCTAGCCATTCGCCCCACTCCCACTTCACCCTATTTCCACTTCGCCCATTTCCACTTCGCCTCATTTCCACATCGCCCCATTGATTATCGTTCATTTTGTTCTTCAGTAACAGAGGCATAGGCCTAGAGGCCTAGATGCAACAAGTAAAAACATCGACGTTTGAGTACCCAAATAACGACCGGAGCCTCCAACCTCCTTTCCTACCTCCATGCTACAACTTTCTAAGGCCAAAACAATGCTTCCGAATTCCCGACCGCCGGACCCAAATTTCAAGTTTCGGCGAGACCCTAAAATTTGTATTGGCAAGTTAGGAAAAGAGAAGTTTTCTTCGTGTTCCATTGTCACTATGGTAAAAACGCGCGCGGCAAACCCGCCGTGCCGCGCGGCATTTGTGTAAGAGAATGGAGACGGAGTGTGGCAGCCCGGCGTCATGCCGCGGTGACCGTACACTGTTAGACAGTGTATGTGATCAGTCACGCATTGAAAAAACATCGCTGTTGCAACATTTCTTCACCTTAATTCTTAGTTTTTTGTCTATGTGTGTATTTTCTGTGTTCCTCAGTTTAATTTTAGATTGTTTGCTCGTTCTTAAAGCGAGCGCCTTTCCAAAAAATTTCCTGCGCGCCGAGCTTAAATCCAATCGCCCAGGTACAGCTGCCTGAATGCATCGACAATTATTACTAGAACGATGTGAGCAGAATTGTGTGTGTTGCTTTGAAATAAACTTGAAGAGGATGAGAAATAACGCCAATGCTAGTCCATCCGTGTGTATTAATTCACCATAATGGACAAGGCAGTCGACATTAATTTAATGCCGTAGAGTTTTCTGTAATAACTACACGTCGTTTGTGGAACTCCCCTCTCAACCATTTTTGAAGAGGCTTGTATTTTTGTAAAAATTGCTTGTAACACTCTAGAGAACGGATAGCAAAGTGGAAATGCGGCGAAGTGGAGATGGGGCGATGTGGGGATGGGGCAAAGTGGTTAGGGGCGACGTGGAAATGGGGCAAAGTGACTGACAGACATACTGGCTGACATGGCTTAAGGCATTTCGCAATGGCACATTCATTAACAAAAACACATGCTTAAAAAAAAGAGTTGTCTTGCTGTTGGTGATTCGAGCATTTTTTTCAACTTTGCCTTGACTCACAGTTCAGGATGAAAAGTCAAGAAATAAAGACATGGCAGATACATACTAATTGAAGATAAACACGACGCAACGCTTTAAGATCTTTTGTGCACAGTGTGGCGTGTATGGGTAATTCCAGAAATTAGGGGTCAAAGTGTGACATTGCGTCCTTGTTACATCTGACCATTTGACATGGAAATATCACCGGAATCGATTTCAAACTATTACTACTTATTTGGCAGGTAATTTGCATTAATTCATCACTCTTGAGAGTTTGAAAATGTGTTCTGAACTTACAAAATCATCTGCCAGATGTGAAAGGGACACACAAAAAATGGACCCCTAATTTCTGGAATTACCTGTATCTTGGAATAATTATTTTTGGCATGATTTGCACACAATATGTACATGTACACCTGAATATATGTAATAAAAAGAGTGGCACGGCTGCGACAATTGTAATCTAACTATATATACTGGATTTTAAAAATTATATATGTACAAAGGATGCATCCAACCCAATTAGTACTAAATATGTAAATTCATACATCATCAGTAGAATATTTTTACATGTGAATGTTTACTTGTACAATGATGAAGATATCATGGTTTTCTGTTCATGTTTTAGACATTTGGCCACAACAATTGTGATCTACATACACCTGGTTTCAAAAATTATAAAATTTACAAAATGATCATTCAATCCCACTAGGGCTTAATATCTCGATTTATATATCAGCACTTGTACGTTTACATTGGCATTTATATAATACAGAAAGTTAATATTGTTTTCAATTCATGTTTCTGACATTTGGCAACAACAATTGCGATCTATATACACCAGGTTTCAAAATACAAAAATATACACGATCACCTCTGACTGCCCGTGGTGCCCTTACCATAAACCAGTACGTGCATGCATATACATGTGAATATTTATGCAGTACAGAGAGTTAGTTTTTTGTGTCAGGGGCATAAGGCCATAACATTTGTTATCTATATTCACTTTAAAAATCATAGCATGTGCACAGGACAATCCAATGCCCATCAGGACTATTCACACAGTGATCTTGTGTATTTACATGTAAGTGTAAACATTAAAAATGTAATGTAAGTGTATACAACTGTACATGTATATATGCACATCACAACAGCTTGTTAAAAAACAAGTTGTTTGTAATTGTTGACTGTTCCTGTGTTTGCCTCTTTTATTCAGAAATTTGCCATGTGTCTCCAAAGACCCTAATTGGGTGTTTTCTCTTGAGGCTGTCTACCCATCAACAAAGACAACATGAACAGAGGGGTATAAGTTGGCCAGTGGAGATAACAGAAGAAACCAGTAAGCAAAAACTACTTAGCTACATGTTTTTGCTACTTTTCTGCAAAATCATTTCTGATGATTTTGAAATGTACAATGAAATCCAATTTAGTAGCAGTCATATCCCCCAAACAAAATAAATAGCACAAATGTTTCCAATTTTTGTCAGTTTTCTTATTGTTTTTTGCTCTTTGGGAAACAGTATGTTCAAGAAAAGTCACTGGTCAGTGGGTGAGCTTTTCAGTGGAAGTATTGACCCAGGCAATCCCCCCATGACTTTTTACAGAAGTGACAAGTAGGATTGTAACTGATCTGACTTTTGATTGGCTTGACAACAACTCTGAATTGCTTCATTGTGTTACTTGTTCTTTTCCCCTCAACAGCAATGACTTTCAGTGCTAC